TGCAGCCTGGTTGCGCCAAGCCATATACGGCTAGCCTCATCCACGACCTAAGCGAGCATTTCAATATCGAAAGTTGCAAGTGCGACCGCGACAACAGCACGCACTAATTCCCAGGAACTCCAAATCGTACGCTCTCCCACCTCTCCTCATCCTCTCAACTGTCGCTAATCGCAAATTCAGCAGCCGTATACCCCACCAACATACATCATGGCTGACGCTCCTGCCCCCGCTCGCGGCGGATTCGGTTCTCGTGGAGACCGCGGTGGTGACCGTGGACGTGGTCGCGGACGTGGCCGTGGCCGCCGTGGCGGAAAGACCGAAGTACGCATACAAAATAACTTGGAGGCATAAAGTGCGGGAAAATTGACAATTGGCATAGGAGAAGGAATGGCAGCCCGTTACCAAGCTCGGCCGTCTCGTAAAGGCCGGCAAGATCAAGAGCATGGAGGAGATGTACGTTCCGATGCGACATTGGGCAGGGAACATTCACTGACTGCGGGCAGCTACCTCCACTCTCTCCCCATCAAGGAGTACCAGGTCGTCGACTTCTTCCTCCCCAAGCTCAAGGACGAGGTCATGAAGATCAAGCCCGTCCAGAAGCAGACCCGTGCCGGTCAGCGTACCCGCTTCAAGGCCATCGTCGTCATCGGTGACTCCGAGGGTCACATTGGTCTCGGTATCAAGACCTCCAAGGAAGTCGCAACCGCCATCCGCGCCGCCATCATCATCGCCAAGCTCTCCGTCGTCCCCATCCGAAGAGGTTACTGGGGTACCAACCTTGGTGAGCCTCACTCGCTCCCCACCAAGGAGAGCGGAAAGTGCGGTTCCGTCACTGTCCGTCTCATTCCCGCTCCCCGTGGTACTGGCCTTGTCGCATCGCCCGCCGTCAAGCGTCTCTTGCAATTGGCTGGTGTCGCCGACATCTACACTGCCTCTTCCGGTTCCACCAAGACCCTTGAGAACACCCTGAAGGCTACCTTCGTCGCCGTCGCACATACCTACGGTTTCCTCACCCCCAACCTGTGGGCGGAGAAGAAGCTCACACCATCCCCGCTTGAGGAGTACAGCGACATCCTCCGTGAGGGTAAGAGGTACTAGAGGGTGTTTCTGCATGGGTTCTTTTTAGCATTCAGGGTTATGGCGCGGGGTATTACATTCAGGACCTCACGTATGTATCCAACGATAGTGCTGGGTACACCGGCATGAAAATGAACAACTTTCAATGATGACCTTGAAGTCATGACACTCCATGTGCCTGTCTCGCGAAATCGCGTTTACTCCGAAATGACGGGACTATGCGTGCAAAAGGATACACCAATACATGTGGCAAGTGTAGCCCGTTGTGAGGTCATTCCAACACCTAGGCGGGTGTAATTTTCACAGATGCGCGTAAATTGCTGCATGGTTCATCGTCTACCCTAAGAAGAATCTCGTCGTCGACCAGTCGTATCTAATACGTGCAGTCTACCCTGAACATGTACACTACGTTGTGTTTTCTGGTATTGATCCCGAACGCAGAGTATACCTTCACGGTAAAGTATGACTCGATTGAAAAGAGCTTCGTTGTACGAGCACGTCGACGAAGCACCCAAGGATGATATTGGAGTGACCAAGTTATGAGGCTACACGCATCGACATGAGGGTTCTGATACGTAATGCCATTGGGTATCGAACATATTCTCAACTATCCGTACGAAGCCATGAACCGCCAATACGATACTAATTATATACAGGAAAAGAAGTTATACTACGTGTTTTGTCACCACTGCAGCCTCGAAGATAAGCACAGTAGTATCGCCACGATGCGACAAACTACGACTGCAACAGCAGCATGTCCTTCCCATGCAACACAAACTGACCAGGCCACAATGAGCTCATCATCTCGTTGACCTGGTGTAACGCGTGGTTCACCAGAGCCGGACCGGCCAGTTTAGCGTAGGGCATGTTCTCGAGTGAAAGAGGCATGCAGCCTGGCGGAGCCGGAGGTAGTACTATTTCGTGGTTCTTCTTTAGAGTTATCGTGTCCATGCCACTGAGGAAACAGCGTACGTTGACCCCAAGAGCTCCCAGCATGTTGTTGACTTGTTCCAGGGCACTGTATACTAAAGCTGGACCGAAAAACTTTTCGTACTGGAGAGGGTCGAGACCGTAGGGTTGACGGGCTTGTTGAGGTGCTGAGGGTTGAACTTGCGGTGGTGCTGCTGGTGCGGTCATGGGAGGCGCCTGCTGGTAATGTTGCGTGACAGGTGCTGGCGCGGTTCTCATGGGCGCCGGCGTAGATACGACTGCCCTGTCGTTGAAACTTCTCACGTCGGCATTACGACGAGGACCTGATTTCGCTGCCTGAATGCGCCTCTGAAGGTCAGCCACCCGTTGTCTCTGGGTCTTACACATGCCCTCGCGCATCCAGGCTGGAAGCTGGCTTCTGATGTCGACTTTCGCCTGCCTGCCACTCAAAATTCTCGCCGCTTTTCTTTCCATCTCTCTCAGGAGATTAGCCTCGGCCAGTGTCGGTTGGCGGACGCTAGAGTGTGGTATGCATAGACGGAAAAGGTCGATATACTCGGGAGTTGAGACAGGAGTTTGCGAGTCAGTAAGCTGCGTTGCTGTTGGTCCTGCAGTTGCCCGGCTTATACTTGGTGAATTGGACTGAGCTGGCGTGAGCAGGGTATGGTTCGCCGGCGGGATCACAGCGAGGTTACTTGGTGCATCATCGGTGGGTTCAGCCTTGATGACTGGCTCTCTATCGATGATGTCTTGACCCACGACTGACCGTTCTGGCGTATCTTCAGGTTCAGAGTCCATAAGTTGATCCTGTCTATCCCTCATGTTGTCGTTGATAAGCGCCCATTCGTATCTGTCGTAAGGGCTGGGAAGTATTTGAGGAATTGCCGTACTACGGTCACCCGTGGACTCGCGACTGTGCGTGGTACGCATGCGTTTCGTTGAGCGCTCAGCCTGAAATCCCGATGGCTGTCCATTCTCTTCCTCGACATGTCGACGTTTCCCCGAGTTGACGTTTGCTGCGTATGCAGCGAACGGTGTAGTGGAACTTGATGCTTGTGTCAGTGTTGCATCTGGGACAACCGCATACTTGCTTGCAGAGAGCCCGCCAGGGCGGATAGCCTTATAACTTGTAGAGGATTCGTTCGATTGGTTCGAGGTCGACGGGGCTGGAATTGACGGCTGAGCAGTTTCGGTTTGTGATGGGAGTCCCCCGGATGCCGATTGGGCTGGGGTGAATGTAATGTTAGGTTCCGTATTTGTAGGCACCGATGAAGAGTGGCCGGGGCGAATTGATGTTGGAACGTAGCATACGCCGGCCAAGGAGATTGCTGGGTTATTTACAGGAAGCGTCGAGTTCTGGCTGGCATGATCGAAAGCCGGCATGGCTGAGTAAACCGCATGACTGTCTTCTGTCGCTTGTGAAGTGGCAGTCTCCTGTACAGCAGCAGTGTCTTGTACAGCAGCAGTCTCCTGTACAGCAGCAGTCTCCTGTACAGCAGCAGTCTCCTGTGCAGCAGCAGTCTCCTGTACAGCGACAGTCTGTCCTGGAGCGACAGCCTCTTCTGAAGCGACAGTACCTCGCAGAGACTCAGTCATCTCAACCGCCGGCTCTCGATTGTCAACTCCCACTGCCGTCTCGTCTGGGAGAGTTTGGAAGATGCCCTGCTGCGGCACCTCCATCTCACCCAACGAGACGTGACTCTCGCCGTCCTGAGTGTGAGGGACGACGTGCTGCGGCACCTCAACCTCACCCGCCGAGACGTGACTCTCGTCCGTGTTCTCCAGATCCTGTAACATCTGTGCTTCGTCGGCGGCACTGAATTCCGGGTGTGGTGGTGTTGATGTCAGAGGTGCATCTATGATCGAGGCGATTGACATCGGGTCTGGCGTGGCTTCCTTTGCCGCGTCGAAGAAGCCCTCGCTCTTCCTCGATTGCGTGCGCGTGGACCGTCGCAGGGGAGTCGCTGCCTTCGCGGGCGATGCTTTGGCAGGAGCGCTCTTCTTGGATTTGGCTGCAGCACGGCGTGGGGCGTTGCGCAACGGCTTCTTTGAGGTCTCAACCTCATCCTCTGCGCCCTCGGTATGGACGTTGTCTGATGCCATTGGCATGACATTTTCTTTCCCAATTCCTTCCTCTGCGCCAGGCGTTCCTGCCGCCGTGCTGCCTCTGAGCCAGCGCATCATGACGTGTGTTGTGAGGCGATTGCCGAATGTAAGTTAAGGTGGAAGGTGCGACCGCTGGACGCTCGGAAAGGGCACCGGAAGCCGGAAGTCGATGGAATTGCTTTTCTGTTTATCGGCACTCGTTTCAGTACCTCTCGCGATTGTGCGCGCGTCACTCAGAGTCGACGGGTGACGGTGCTGGACATATGCGACGAGTTGCGAACGGTGGGTTGCGGATGCGCGTTGTGCCCTGGTAAACTTCGGTCGCGAGTGCAACGCGCTAGCAGCTCACACAGACTGTGAGGAGATGTGCAACTATTGGGAAAATTGATGGGAATGGTTTTCGAATCGATTTGTTTCAGTTAACATTGGTTGACACTACAAGGCCTGATATTCTAGGTTGGTATCTATGACCCCAGAATGGTCACAGCGACAAATCGCTTTCCCCTGGGTTGTGCGGGGACGATGACGTTGGGCATTTATGCTGCATGCGCGTTGCGCCACACATAGTCCGGTGTTTCTAACACAGACTACAATTTCTACGAAGATCGGCCTACTCGCCGAGGGTGTGTAAGACCTTTGTCCCTATGGCTAGTTCCTGGGCGTAGATTACTTATAATTCACAGACATGGCCGCAGAGGGGCGATAGTGATTTACGTTCAGCACGCTGTTCAACACAATCTACATAGCATAACAACTGAGCTAGACTCGCACTAGCTGAACGGAACGAGTGTTATCTAAACGTGCAGCCACGATCTCTTTCAAATAAGGACTTAACCCTTAGTACTGTTTTCTCGTGAACTTGTTCCGAGTAGAAGTATGACCAAGCTTCAATTCATTGTGTAGTCAATACAATCATAGTAGTCAGAATCATACCCTGAGTACCACTGCTTAAACTCTTCGCACCAACGTCCCTCTTCTTCGACTCTATGCTTTGCTTTCTCGAAATCCTTCGGACCCTTTGGCTGGCCGGCGTTCATGCGAGATGCTTCGCGCTCAGGAGCTCTGGACACGGATATGAATCCGGTGGGGTGTTGCGGTAGTGGAGATGACGCTGGCATTAAACGGCTCGTATCTTGTAAGGCCTTCGATGGAGCGTGAATCTGAGCTGATTTGTGTGTTTGCCGCCGTTTCTCTCGCTGTCCCTGTCTATGAGCCTGAACTCTAAACCGCCGCATCGCAGCCGAAGCTTCCAATTCGGCATCGACAGTCAATTGCCCTTTCCCGAAGTTGATCCTTCTCCACCGGACATTCATCTCGAGCTGCTCTTGTGCCACTGTAATCGCAGCGTCTTGTTGCGGTGGCAAGTTCAGACTGCGTAGGGGGACGCTCTTCGCAATGTTGACACCAGGCCCAAGGCCACATAGTGCTGCGTCGATCCTTTCCTGCGCCCTGAATATTTTCGCTCGTTCTTTTCGGGTAAGTTTTCTGGTGGGTGGGTTGCACAGACGGAAAAGCCAGATATCAGGGACTGGTGGACAGGTGTTGGGAGTTGGTTGTCGGTTGGTATCGGTGTCGCCAGTTTGGTTGTGTTTCGTGATGGGCATGCCGACGGGCTTGTTCCCCAGCTCAGTGTCGGTTCTGTACATGTCTGGAGATTCTTGCTTCATTGAAGGCATAGTAGGTTTTGTGTCTTTCATGTTGGTAATGTGCGTGGCAGCAAATCCTGGAGCCGTGTTATACTGTAGTGCTGAGGGTATCAGCCGATCCTGGTTAACGTCACCCATGATGCGCTGCGTTCAGCGTCAATGGTGATAATCATCCAGTTGTTGAAAATCATAACTTGTTTACTACATGGTATGCGCGTTGCCATCGAGATAATCGTGATAAGCGCACCCGTTAGAAGATCCGTGCACCACCATCCACCCCCTTCATGTCCTTTTCGGACTGCACGGTATTTGATCAAGTCCCATACGATCTCTACAGGTACGTCAAACAACAAATCAAGTGAACAGTATGTGTTGGAAAGAGATTACTATACTAACGATTATAGTAAGCCAAGGGTAAATTCGCTTGAAGTAGAACAAATCGAGCGAAGATCGAGCGAAGGATAGAAGCTGAAGAAAAGTAAGATGCTCAATAGGATTACAAGAATTCGTAACCGTCCCTCGCCCTAAAAGGCGGGTTTGCCTGCGCCTCCCAATCCTGCCTCCCAGTACGCCCCCGCTCCGGTAACGCCAAAGCATCGCTAAGCGCCAGAAGAAGAGGGAAAGAAGAAGAAAGAGAAGTGAAGGGAGTTGCCGAGACGAGAAACGAATTGGATGGCGTTTTGATGCCGCTCGAGGGAAATTGAGCGCTGCTGAAGGATGAAGTAGGGGGATGGTTTCAGTGACCAGAGTCGCTCACACGTCTTCTCCGCCCTCGGCTACCGCCTTCAGGCCGCTGAGCGAGGACGTCTCGAAGTTGTGGGTCGTCTTTATCTTTATCGGTGTGGTGTACGCGCACATGTCTACAATCTCAATTAGCTCTGCAAACGTTGAAGTCCAAGCGTGAGTGCCCACCTCTGCAGATTATCCGGCCTTGGATATTTGTGTTCGCGATCCGGACAAAACGGGCACACGTAGCCGGGCGATTGATGCACCAGCCCGTGCCGTATCATCTCGTTCTTTCGTTTGAAGCCCTTGCCGCCCTCGCCTCGGGGACAATCTTTTACTGGACAGTAGTGTGGGCGGTTCGAGGAATGCACGTTGGTGTGAGAACTGCAAAAGTCAGCAAGTGAGACTTTACGATACTGAGAAAGTTCGAGTCTGGCTTACTTAAGAAGGTACTGCGTCTGAAAAGGAAGAGCAGTGCACCCGGGATAATCGCACTTGAAGGATCCAACGATATGCTGAGTCACATTTTGCTGTAGACCAGAGTTGAGTGGTGGCGGCAGGACTCTCGACGCAAGCGCGCCATCTAAACTCATATGTCGCGGTCGTTGTTCAATCGGCGTTTGTTGTGTACCAGGGCTGATACCCTCCGAGCTCGGGTAACTGTCGCTGGTCGATGCTGAGTGCAATGTCGCCGTGTAGGGACTGTTGTCTGACGCGGCATGCGAAGGTCTGCGAGCATCCGTGCTGAAAGCGCTTCCTCCTGAAGTGCGAAGGAAAAGATCGACACGATGTGGTAAATCGTGAGCACTCATTGGCGAAGACGCACTCAGAGGAGGGAATTGTGTTGCTGGAGAATGAGAGCTCATGGACAGTTGGCGAACCATCGATGTTGGTGATGCTCCTACAGAAGAAATTGATTGTCGATGGGGAAAGCTGATGCTATTTGCTCTTGTTGCTTCGTGATCACTCGTCGCTGATCTCGCGATGTCATCTATATGACGGAATGAGGGTAGCTGCTGACTAGGCGAAGTAGCTGCTCCATCACCCGCAGGGGAGGGCGCTTGTAACGCAGGCAGTGTGTCTGGCCCTCTCTGTTGCGGGATCGTAAGTTGTCGTAGACTGGGGACTGTTGCTGAATCATTCTCTTGGGAATGGCCATTGGGCAAGCCCCGAGCTGGCTGGCTTGGTGGTTGCAATGATGTGGCCGACAAGGCGGACGATATAGATAGTGTTCGATCGAATCCATTTGTATTCGGATGTACGCCATTCGGTGCTACATGAACTGCTGATGCTTGAGATGTGCGCCTATCTGCTGCAAATCCAAAAGGCCTAGTAGTTTCGTCTTCGATCACTGAGTCCCTGTGGGTAGCTGTCGCTTTTGGGTCGGGTGCTGAGCTGAGAACTTCTTGTAGAGTTGGTGCCGAATTGGCAGGACGAGCATTTGGTGGTACTGGCTGACCATTGCTAAGAGCGGACGGTGCCGTTGTCATGTCGGAAGAGTCGGCATCAGGCATGTCGTCATCCCCAGAGCCTTGCGAATCAGAGTCGGAGTTCAAGGCCTGCTCGCTTGCTTTTTGTGCAATGTCTGGCCGATTTGGGTCCATCTCACGAATGAGCACCCAGTCCCCTTGGGTGGGGCGAGTTCGAGGCTTGTGTTTATTAGGCCTTTTCCGATTTCGAGATTGGGGAGGACTGACACTCTGTCGATTGGGTAGGTGACGGATGACTGGTGTTATGTGTGGCTGCGGCGTCGGGGATGGTGTTGCCTTTACCACACGAGCTTCCAAGAGTGGTGATTTCGAGAAATGGTCGTCGTCCTGGTAGTATTCCACTGGTTCCACGGATTGGATGGCGTCGAGCACCTGCATCTGGACAGCGGGTTTTGCGGATAGGAAGATGGTAGTTAATTAGGTGGAATTAACTGGCGATTATCCCAACGATCGTTCAGCAAAGGCTCCCAGAGAAAGGCCCAGGCGGCGGTGAAGAGAGCGGGTGGCACAGCAAGACCAGTCTTGAATAGCTGTCTGGAGGAGAGTCAGCATGACCATGGGCTGCATTCTTCTCGCAACAATGGAGGCGGAAAGTGCTGGGGCTGCGTGTGTGTGGGATAGTGACAGAAGTGAGAAAAGCTGCGGTGCCGTCGGATGCGAGTTGGGCTAGGTGCGCTCGGGTCGAGCGACTGGGGCAGGGCAGGGGTGACAGTGTGGAAAGGACGGGTTGTTGGTCATCGGGGTGGAGATGCAGCGAGCAGAATCATGAATCGCGAATTATATGTGGAGATATGATGCAAAGTAGCGACGCCAACGGTGAAGCGGCTCTGCGCGGTGGAAAACATACCCGAGGGTGCCAGTGCGACGGCTCTTTTTCAGCCTCAAGGCGGTGTCGAAGGGGCCTGCCGATCGCAAACATCAACTCGCGCAGGCGCAGATGGGACGGGCGTGCGGTCACGGATAGCATAGAGGTGGGTAGCAGTGTGCGAGCCTCGTCTGCCCTTACAGCATCGAGGAGAGGAGGGACGGCTGGCCTTGGAGGGACTGCGGCGGATGAGGAGGCTGACTTGCGGGGGCTTGTTGGCTGGACGGCCCTGATGCGGTGCTGGAACAGGCGGAAGTCGGGGTGCTAGGTCAGCGTGCAAGATACAGCAACAGGTGACAAGAGGCAGCTGGGCAGCGAGGATGGAGGGCAGTGTGTGCAAGGCAATGGATCGAGCCAGAACCAGAGTCGCTGTGCTGCCGTCGCGCCAGTCGCCCTCCCCCAAGCTCCTGCGAGGCGCAGCCCCAGCTTACCTACAGCGCGCGAGGCTCTAATCCAATCCAGTTTTCATGAGGCTCCCACCGAAGTTTGCCATCCCCGCACCGAGCGCCGCTAGCTGCTCTGGGACCCCACAGGCCTCCAGGGCTCCAGAGCTACTCCACGGGGACCGAGCCCAGCCCCGCCTCAACGCACGCCCAAGCACGAGAAGCCTCCATCGGCCCTATTGCGAACCTGCAGCTGCCCTAACATGAACTTGCAGTTTAACCCATGGCCTGCAATAGCCTCCCGAGGTCGCTGCTATTTCTTCCGCTGCGTGGCATTTGTCAGTTTGGATATTCGCGGCACGACGTGCGTGCGGCGTGGTGCGTTGCCCTGCTGCGGCTTCACCTTCGCTTCACGCCTCGACAGGCCGCACTTGGATGGAGCGAGACGCTTAGATTAACTGCCCAGTTGCACGCCAGGCCATGCTGGTAATCCTCCTGTTCTATCGACTACAGGTGCATGCGTGTCCAGCGACCGCATGCACTGCATCCGTCTTCCCCTCTCCGCCCGCTGTCAAATGCCACCGACCGCCTATCGTACAGTCTTATGCTGCATGCGCTCTTGTCTACTACTGTGCCGCTGAGAAATGCTCCAACAGAAATGTGACAGACACGCCCACCCCCACAGTCACGGGCAACTGGCGAGTAAAAACATGCTCCTCGGTAGATCAACGCCCAAAAACAAATCGTGGCTGATAGAGCTGTTGTTGGCGCCAGAAACGGTATCCCACCCATAAATCGTCCAATCCCATTTTATCCTCGCCCGCAATAACGCACATCGGCTAAGCACGTGCATGGCCCCATCACGCTTCCGGCTTCTTGCCAAATCCAGGGATTCCACTAAACCTGGTGCCAGCGGGAAGCTTGGGTCGACCAAAGTTCTCGTCGAGGTCGAGAATCACCTTGAGCGCGTTGCGGCTGCGCAGGTACGGCAGCGGCGCCGTCGCCTCTTCGAGGCCGACAGATGGCTCCAAGCTTGCCGAATCGTGGCTAGAGCCCGGCATCGGGAGAGCTGCGGACATGTTAGTGGCCCATGTGCGCATACGGTGCGATGCAAGACTTACCTCGCTGTAGAACCTCATAGCCAGCCAGTGTGAAACCGAATTGTGGTGACGAGCGCATGATACGGGCGGGACCACCCTTGAAGAAGGCCTTGAAGCCTTCCTCCTTCCAGATGGTCGACGCTGCGTGGCGCAGGCCAGTGTATGCGACTTCGCCCTTGCGCGCCTCTACTTGTAACCTGGTCTTGATAACGTCGCACGGTGTGGTCAGGTACGCCGCAGGCATACCCGCGATGGCACCAGCGCTCAGCATTTGTAGGACACCGAGCGACTTTTGCGGGCTCTCGCCGAAGAGATCTCTCTTCAGATGGCTGTAGGTGGGGAAGTAGATGGCAGAGAAGGGGACTGTACAGGCCGTCAGCGACATTCGGAAGGCGAGAGTGGACAGAGCATACCATCACGCAAAAGACATGCGCTCGCTCCCTTGTAGAGACCGACAAGACCCAAGTTGCGGACGATCCACATAGCAGACCGCCTGGGAACACCCTCGACGTTCTTGGACAGTTCACCCTGAATCTGTAACCGAATCTTGACAATCTCGAGAGGGTTGGTGAAG